CATCGCATTTCATATTACTTTCACATATTTTCAATTCATTGGAACTAATGGTCATAATTATGAGATCAATCTTGGCACATTGGCCATATTCAGTATTTCATGCTCACCTTTTCAATTTCAAATATCACCAACAACAAATACAATTCAAATCAAGATGTGTAGTACATATGTGAGCAATTTAGAATCTAAGACACATAGAGATATTTTACAAAATTTGGCATAATAACCTTCGTTTGAACTTGACTTGAAGTCGGAACATTATTAATGCACAACTATATTTTAACAAATCCTCAATTGATAACATAACATGAATAAAGAATTTGAGATACTTGTCGAATATATATATATATATATATATATATATATATATATCGTTCAACCCAATCTTACTCGGAATAGCCAATTTTATAATGAACCACTCGGGACTTACATATTTCTCATGAATATAATGTGATTCAATTCTAAGAGAAGAGTTTAGCCAACATACCTTGTTTTGAGCTTTCCTTAAATTACTACGACATTTCAAAAATTCTAGCAACTTCAATCTATTTAGAAACATAACAAACGTACAACATAATTAGGAAGATGAACATGGTTTTAGCTCATTTGAGCATATTATCAAACACTAGGTGTGCATCAAGGTTTCAAGGTCCTTTTATGGAGGATTCCATCATCCCCCAACCCAATCTTTACCATTCTTAGCTCAACAATATTCCTACACCCTTTGATAACACATGCATGTAAAAAAAATAACTCTCATGCCCAAATATCTTGTTAATTACCCAATTCTAGACAAAATTCGAAATTAAGGGTTAGGATGTAGAATCTTACCTCTTAGGAAGAAGACCTAGGTACCCCTCTTGATAATCTTCAAGGTTTTAAGTAAGAGTTGAAGTGAAATTTTGATGATTATTGACTTCTCCCTCTAGGACTCTCTCTATCACTCTCAAAATATCAGAAAATATTTTTAAAATGGTCCAAGTAGGTGTTTTAACGGAATAGGGTCGGGTTTAAAACATATGAAAATGGATACTCCGAAATTCTGGACCGGGCTACAGACCTGGCCTCGCCAGGCTAAAGCCTGGACTTAGCGTGATACAGGCTTGGCCTCGCCAGGCTAAAGCCTGGTCTTAGCGCGCTACAGGCCTGGCCTCGCCAGGCTAAAGCCTGGTCTTAGCGCGCTACAGGCCTGGCCTCGCCAGGCTAAAGCCTGGTCTTAGCATGCTACAGGCCTCGTTAGCTCTGTAGCGAGTTATAGACCGGCCTTTGGGTATTTGATCATAACTTCTTATAAGAATGTCTGAATAACGAACGGTTTAAAGCGTTAGAAACTAGACTCAAAGAGCTTTAATATGATAGGTAGCTCACCTCATACATCGTTATACTTTGGTAGCCGCATACGTTTGAAATAGGATCTTGTGCGAATTGAGACATCCTTTCCACTTAATGTATCATACTTATTACACACGAATTCTTTCCATTCACAAAACTCCTTAGTATGTTTCAACACACCTTAAACATATACTTTTCATTTCGAAATAATGTGGTTCTATCCCATGGGTTTTCTTTAATACTCTAACACATTATTCCCAAATACCGTTGGCGTACTTTAAAATATTAAATCGTTAAAAACTTTTCTGGGGCCTTACAGTAACTGTCCTTATGGCTTTCCTTAAGGCTTCCCCCGATGGCGTGACCAGGACTATTGATCGTTTGGCGCGGAGGTTCCTCTCCTACTTTCGAGGTTTGCGTGTCTCCCCTGTCCCGACCATAATTGTTCTTGGCTCGGTCACTCAAGAATTCTCTTAGGTGACCCTTTTTTAACAGCATTGCCACGCCTCTTTGATGTCTCTCATGAACAACACTTATTCCACCACACTGATGTTGAAATTATATTCTGATAACTTTGGATAGGAAGGGCCTCGTGACCCTAGGATCTCCCTGTCCTGCAGTGGTTTGTTATTCCGCTCGCGATCGATTCTCCTATTATTGACAAACTTGTCAACCGACCGGAAGCTCCTGCCGCGACCTTCCGCCAGCTCGTAGGGTTGAAAACGGCCCCTTGAAACTCGTCTATCTGAGTCGGCATCGTCTTTCACTTTATCTTTGTTCTTCTCATGTCCTTTTGCTGATCACGGGAAGTCAACCTGATCATCTTCGATCTTTATCTTTGACCAGTACCGGTTGTGGACATCCGCCCAAGTTGTCGCTTGAAACTCGAGCAGACTTTCCTTCAGCTTCCGGGAAGCATCCGAACTCCTTGAGCTTAAACCCCTAGCGAACGCTTCAGCTGCCCCTTCGTCCGAAACAACCAGTAACAACATCCTTTCCTTCTGGAACTGGCTAACAAACCTTCGTAACTATTCGGACTCTCCCTGCGCGATCCTGAATATGTCGGCCTTTTGGGCTTGTACCTTTCTGAAACTGGTATGGGCCTTGATGAATGAATCTGAGAGCATCTAGAAGGAATCTATGGAGTGCTCGGGCAGTAATGAGTACCACGTCAAGGCTCCCCTCGTGAGAGTCTCACCAAATTTATTTAATAATACAGATTCAATTTCGTGAGGATCCAGATCGTTTCCTTTCACTGCTGTTGTGTAGGTGGTGATGTCTTCATATGGATCTGAAGTTCCGTCGTATTTCGGCACTTCAGTCATTGCAAACCGCTTAGGGATCAGTTCTGGGGCTGCACTCGGTTTGTACGGTAATTGAATATACTTCTTCGAATTTCGACCCATCAATATAGGCGGTGCGCCCGGGATCTGACCCATGCGGGTATTGACTTCCTTCATGAACCGCAAAAGTTCTTCCTTGAATGGGTCGTTGTCGATGTTGAGTCCAGATTTGCTCCCCTCAGCCCCATCAGAGCCAACTTCGTCCCTGGGAGTGTTGTTGTCGACTCTCTGCGTTGTTTGGTTCGAAGGAACAACGAGAGGAACTGGATCTTGCCTATTTGAATTATTTGAAGTTCCCGATAGCTTTTGTTTTACTCTGTCATAACATGATCCTGCCGCTTGAGGTTGCCTAAGATGATTGCATGTTGCTCTTGCAGGATCCTCACTGCGTCTGCTACGTGCCCCTGGTCAGCATCATCTGGAGTCGCTTCCCGTACTCGTCTGGGATACCGCCCGCCATACACCGGCATGGAATCTCCCCCCTTATTGCGAGTGTCGCTAATTGAGTCCTCAAAATGGGAGTGTTCCCCTTGAACCTCAGGATTGTGAGTATTGTTAATGGTACTGATTTCCATTCTTTATGATTTTGCGAAGACAAGAACGATCAAAGCTTATGAGTGAAGGAGGTAAGGATCAACTTAACCACACGACTGTCTAGGCCCCACGGTGGACGCCAAACTGTTTGCTCGTAAAACGGTACAGTTAAATTTGTTCACGGTTTCTAGACAGATGAATCAATTTGATTCCAAAGATAATGAATTAATCGATCAGATGTAAGCTACTTAGCTCAAAATATAGATGAAATGATAAATTCGAAGAGCCCGGGAACAAGATTTCCGGACACAATGATGATAAGATTAACAAGCGAGAAAGAGAGAAAAAAAAAGGTATTTGATTGCTCTGTAGAATTTTGTCAATGTATTCCGGAAAAACCCGTCCTTTACAATAATAGTTGAGCCTATTATTTATAGCTCAGTGGGCGTAATGGCCCGGGCCCACCACTAATGACAATTATCGGAGTGTGATAATGAAAACTTAACGGTAAACATAAATGCTCAAATTTCTTTAATGAGTTGTTACTCTTTAATGTTGTGGAATATTCTTCATTAAATGTCATCGGGCGCATCATGCTTAATGCCCTTACGAATTTGTCTTTTTCGGTGACACACGAGGTAGTTGTGCCCGGTTTTCCATCCTCACGGTTTTGATTCCACGCGTCCCCTTCTTAAGTGGCCACGTAGCATCACGTATTTTACCCAATATAAGTATTATTTATCATGTTAGCATGTATCACTCCTACGATCTCCTAGTACTTAATAAAATAATCTTGGCACGACGTGTACTTACTATAGTATGAAGATCTTATTACACGGTTACTTAACTAATGATAATTGTGTAATATTGTATGAAGATCCTATTACAAAGAGCTGATTGTTGAGAGTCAAACGGATACTTAGCTAACGATAATTGTGTAATATTGTATGAAAATCCTATTACACAGAGCTGATTGCTCAGAGTCAAACGATTACTTAACTAATGATAATTGTGTAAGAAAATTCAATTTTATTTATTTTGTAACAGAAAAATCATTTTATTCTTATTATTTCACCTACATAATCACTCTACACATTCTGCCATGATATATGCAAATTACCTCCTCTTTTTAACTAGTTGTAACTTGTAATATTGTTAGGTCTGGTTAAAACCATTGTGTATCTTTTTGGCTCTTATGGAGTGGGAAAAATAGTTCAACTTACGGAGTAGTAGGGAACTCAATCCAAAGAGTGAAAGTTTTCTATATTTTTCTTTTATCTTTGGAGTAAAGAGCAAATTTATGTTGTGTATAAATTGTTGAATATAGATTATAAAGAATAGGTTTTAACTACTTTAACCTTCAATAGAATTAATGCCAAGAGCTATGATGCATTTATATTGCACATGTATCTGATGTGAATTACTATTAATTACTCAAAAATTATACATTTATGCTTGTACACATTGTAAAAATTTCATGTAGTTATTAACAGATATTAAAGAAAAATAATCGTTTTTATGATGTGTCACATCAAAAGAATGAGTGGAAAAACAAAAAGATGGGTGAAGATGAGTTGAAAACTAAAATTGCATTGATATTTAACTTCTACCTAAAATACGTAACTATGTAAATATGCACGTTCCTATGATAGAAATCTGAGTGAAATTTCCTTTAAACAATTAAAATCTCAATAATCAGACAATACAATTCTAAAAAGCAACACAAAAGAGAGAGACAAAGGTAGAACAAAAGAACATCGACTTGCAACTTAATTCTTTCTTATAACAATTTTAGCCACTATTTTCCCCTATCGTTTTTAAACCAATTGGTTCTCTATCCGAACGAAAAGGAAATATTTCACTATAGTCTGACCTATCCAATTTCACCACATCAAATCTTGTATTTCTTTGGTTATAACACACCAATTTATCAAAACCCATCATTAGAGCAATATCACTATCGTAGAAATCAACTGGACTTGGATATTTCATCACACTTTTAACGGTTTCAATCTCCACTTCTTTCTCCTTATTCCACAAATGGTTTCTTGTATTGTCAATACACCAAAGCTCTAACATTTCATTCGGCGATAGACAAATAAATCCCAACTTCCCTTCGTACTCCACCAGTTTTTTGTCTGTATAATCTTTGTTTTCGGTTACTGACTCTGGAAGTGAGAATCTTGAACGAGCTTCTTTGCCATTATAGTTTAAGACTAATACGTGATCATCATCTGTGAGAAAATAAACTAAACCACTTGCATTAATAGGGAGACAAGAGGATTCGAAAAACACATCGTAAGGGAGTGAGATTATATTTGTTCGTCTCCAGGCAAAAGTCTCAGAGTCAAAGATTTCGCAACAATAATTGTCAAGTCCCAAGCGCCTATAAACAAAGATTCAAATGAAGGAAATACATATATGAAAATCTAATTTTAGCAAAAGCAAAAACCAATCAATGAACGATAGATATATGATTCGGAACATAAGAAAATTAAGATGCAAATTTTACATACCTACGACGAGGTGGTGATAAGTCTTGTGACAAACGAATAATCTTGATATGTAAAGGACTTGATTTGAGTACCACTAGAGCAACCTTGACAGTTTGATACCTCGTTTTTGGATTAGGCAACACTTTCCATTCTCGGGTACTAGGTTTGCAAATGTAGTACATATGATTACGATTCTTTATTCTTCTCACGCAACACAAAATCCCTTGTTTTGAAGATGCCTCGATCTTTGTGTTGTGAAAATGGTTGAAAATTTTATATTTAGGTTTATTCAAGGTTTCAACTGGTAGATGCAATGGATCTTTTCCAGAGCAATCGTCCATTGAAACAAACTCTGTAACGTACTTGTTGTTTTCTAAACCTTGAACGAAGTAACCTAAAATATTATTTGTTCTGTGACAATATACTTGCATAAAACCTAATTTATATGTCAAGTTTTTCCATGTCTTGTTAACTACTTTGCAAGCATCTAATGTTTCCAAGGAAGTTCGAGTTAATATCTCGAAAGCCATATCAGATGGAAGCTCTGAAGAAGCCATTAATGGAACTCTTTAATTAAGGAGTTAATTTCTAGAGAAAATAAAGAGTGTTTAATTAATGTAAGGAAAGATAAGGGATTAATGAATCTTGAATCACTACATCAGCTTGAAAGTATAACTAATTTATAATAAGAGGAAGTACGTTGAAGATAAAGCAGGTAATTAAGATCATATTCATAGAAAGAAAACAAATAAAATAAGAAGGCATGCAAAATACGAGATTTGATTTTTGGGATTTATCTTATATTATGGTCAGCAACTTTTCCTTCTTGCTCATACTTACTAGGCGATTACCATATTTTCCCTTTATAATAGTATGCGATCTCAACTACGAGAACTGTATTGAGTATTATACCTTTTCTTACTGTGGGGTGCATTATTTTACCAAATTAGAACTGAAGCTAGAAAAAGAAAAGAAACAAATATTTGTCCCTAAATAATGTAGTTCAAGATCAGATTTCGCAGGGTGGTATATGGTTTGCTCATTAATTTCTCTTGATTAATGTAATTTTTCTATGAGATCGCTTTGAAGGATTAAGCAAGTCGAAAATTCTGCGCGTAAATAGAGTTATTTATTATTAAATAAGGTTAAGTTTTTCAATCAACGTATTCTTTCTCACGTAGAAAAATGATATTTGTTTCGTTTAAGTGAAAAACGTGAGAGAATTAGAGCACAATAATTAAAAAGGATGATTATGAATTGTTTTTTTATTTTAAAAAATTGCACTATATCTTTCTTCAGTTTATATGATACGATTATCATTTTAGAAGTCAAATGGCATTTTTATTCAAAATTCTTATTTATTTTAAGTTAATTAATTATAAAATTGTGACTTATGGTACTTTTAAAAAAGTTTAAGTACATCGTTACAAAATTTCGAAGTTAAATGAAAATTGACAATTGGATAATTAGATCTTTGTACTTTGAACTTCGAGGAAAGAAGTAAAGAAGAAAATAAAAAAGGAGTCCTCTCAAGTATAACTTTGGATGTAATGGATATTTTTGTTTTTGTTTACTTC